GCACGAAGCATTGCAAAGGAAATGCCTCTCCAGCTGGAAAAGCATATGCTTTCAACTGTGGCAACAGTCAATCATTGCCGTCAACGAAGACAAGCCCATGCACATTTTGTTTCATTGCTTTGGTGGGATCAATCGCAGCGCCGCGATTTTGTGTGCTTGGCTCATTGTGGCCTATGATTACAGCGCGGAGGATGCGATCAAGCTGTTGCTCACAAAGAGACCGTCTTCGCCCGTGGCGCCATCGAGACTATGTTTTGGATGCGTTGTGGATGGTGGAACAACAGCGCTCTGAGTGGTGCCGGGATTTCCAACATGGCGCAGCCTAGCTCTCATTTGCTTGCGCGCTGGGAGCTCTGGTAGCGCGTTTTTTTGAATTTCAAAAAATGCATCAGCATGAGTCAACCAGAACTGTCTGAGACTTGTTGATGCATCGTGCATCCTGTTTCACCATAGAACAGCGGCAGAAGTCAAACAGAACTGTCTGAGACTTTGGCATCTACACCCAACTTTTTCATGAAAAAAAATGTGATTGCTTTTGTTTTCACCCATGCATGGAGAGTATCTCTGTAGAAAACCATGAGACTGTGCATGTAATTCTTGTGAATAGGCCAAGACGTCACTGAATGTAATCTGTCACAGTCACCAGTCATAGTCCTTGACTGCTTTGCAGGTCTTTGCATCGTCTATGTAGCTGGGTTTTCATCAGGCCAGGGCCCCGGGAGAGGATGGAGTAGATGCATATATGAGTGCTGATGCGTTTGTACATAGATATTAGTAATATACGAACATTACTTCAAGTCAGAGTCAGGACTCAGGACCCTAAACCCAAAAAGAACATGGAAAGGAGCACAAGGGCAATCCCATTATATCATATTGTACTACTGTTCTTGTCCCAGCCCAGAAACGTCCGCCGCCTGCAAGGTCCGCCCGTTTATATTTTTTTTGGGAGATGGCAAACCACCTTGGTTGGGGGGCTCCAAAGCACACAGCCCTCATGACATATTTATACATGTTGGTTTCAAGTCGCTTCGTTTCCTTTTTTATTCCGGTTCACATGGAAATGGGACTTCGCCGTCGCCACCCTACCCCTCGACACATGCACACACGATATAAGGTATAGGTGTCCAGGCTCCTCCTCAGGTCTTATGACTTTAAATGGAAGTGATGGTGTACCATGGCCTTGCCATCAGCCATGTACATCTATTGTCACTTCCTCCCAATTGAATCTGTGATAACCTTTGGCCTGCAGTGCCAGTAACCCTGGTTCCCCCCGGATCTCTTGTTGTGGGCAGATAGGCCTCTCTCTGGACGGCCAGACTTTTCTAAGTAAAGAAAAGCAAAAACTATTTTCTGTTGGTTCTTCAAAGTGATCCCTTTTTAGATGGTCAATTGACCTTTGTTGGGATTGATCGAGTGGCCTCAAATTGATGGTTGACGAGGTCATTTTGAAGACGCAAGTAACTAGCTATTTCCTGGAGAAAGAGCATCACGGCGATCACCAAGGTCATCACAGATGTGTGAAGAAAAGGGTGAGCAAGGAGTATAGGAGCTTGGGCCTTGGACTAGGAGATCCACTGGCGGGCTCTGCAAGTCTTCGAAGTCCGCTAGTTTCTTCGGGTCCTTCGGATTGACTGTGATGAAGGACTTCACGCCGTTGGTGTTCCAAAAAGGACAGGACCGCGAGCACTTGGCGCGGGGCCTCCCCGAGTGCCGCTTGGATGGCCAGTGGACATCCTGGATGCGATCCGGCAACACACGAAGATTGTTTCCTCTGACTCCCATCGCGGCTGTCCAGAGCACGACGGACGACCAGGTTGTCTCCGTGCACGCTTTGGTTCTGCTGCTGCAAGCAGTGATCGCTTCAAGCTTTTGCTGGACAATATCGGGACTGACAAAAAAGTTTTAGTTAGGCTCGCCATGACATTACACACTTGGTCACGCATTATGATGAGGTGCATATCGTCGAGTCGTCATCTTAGATCTTTACAATATTTAGATTAGTAGCCTTAGGCCTTAGCTTCAGACTTTGATAATACGTATATAATTATGGCCCGCTCCTATAATAATTTGAGGGGATAGGATGGTTCCTCCACCCTGGCGGGGGGCCAGGTCGGTTCTTTGCCTGACTCAACACCTTTGTGAGCAGCTTAGCTATTTGATTTTCAACTTTGCTACTTGTATTGCAACCAGAGCTGTCTGAGCAATACTTCTATAGCCTGTACTATATTGAATGCATGTCCACCAAATACATGGTACGAACTTCACCCCTCCGTCGAATTTCTGAGGTTGCCACGACAACGATGACTTCACTGTGACTGCGTGAACATGGGCCGGCCTGTGTGTAAAAGCGTCTGTGTGTAAAAGCTTCTGTGTGTAAAAGCGTCTGTGTGTAAAAGTGCTTGTGTGTAAAAGAGCTTGTGTGTAAAACCGTCTGTGTGTAAAAGCGTCTGTGTGTAAAAGTGTTTCTGTGTAAAAGTGTTTGTGTGTAAAACCGTCTGTGTGTAAAAGCGTCTGTGTGTAAAAGCGTCGGTGTGTAAAAGCGTCCGTGTGCACAAGCGTTTGTGTAAAAGTGTCTGTGTGTAAAACCGTCTGGGTGTAAAAGTGTCCGTGTGTAAAAGCGTCTGTGTGTAAAAGCGCCTGTGTGTAAAAGCGTCTATGTGTAAAAGCGTCTGTGTGTAAAAGCTTCTGTGTGTAAAAGCTCCTGTGTGTAAAAGGGTCTGGGTGTAAAAGTGTCTGTGTGTAAAAGCGTCTGTATGTAAAAGCGTCTGTATGTAAAAGCGTCTGTGTGTAAAAGCGTCTATGTGTAAAAGCGTCTGTGTGTAAAAGCGTCTATGTGTAAAAGCGTCTGTGTGTAAAAGCGTCTGTGTGTAAAAGCGTCTGTGTGTAAGAGCCTCTGTGTGTAAAAGCGTCTGTGTGTAAAAGCGTCCGTGTGCACAAGAGTCTGTGTGTAAAAGCGCCTGTGTGTGAAAGTGCCTGAATGTAAAAGCTTCTGTGTGTGAAAGCTTTTGTGTAAAAGCTTCTGTGTGTAAAAGCTTCTCTGTGTAAAAGCTTTTGTGTGTAAAAGCGTCTGTGTGTAAAAGCTTCTGTGTGTAAAAGTGTTTGCGATGCAAACTGTTGTCTTGTACTTATGCTATATTGTCTTGATACTTCTCTTCTCGACTGCCTGTAACACATCTTTAATATAATGTTTTGTAATATGGTGTCTCAATACTAACAAGAGACGACCCTGCTCCTCTACGCTCTCGGGCCATCCGTCGTCTAGTTTTTCAAGCATCTCTTGACGTTTAATTATAAAATATTTGGAAATTAGGTTCATGCCCCACCGTTTTTTTTACCCAGGTCAATGCGGGGACGGCTTTTTGGCACCATGCCCTCGGGAAGCACTGTCGCTGACCAGCTTGCACGTTCTGAGGTGCGCATGGGGCACTCCGCAATTTGGCCCATGGCGGCCCACTCACAAAGAATCTAGGCCGGGCGTGAAAGTTGATATAATTATAGCCGATCCGGCGCTGTAGTCCGGCTGCTGAGACTCGCCAAGCCAGCTGCCTTGAAGAGGGCCCTAGCACTTTTTTTCCTCTCAAGTAAGCTGCTCTGAAGAGGCTCCTGGCGGAGCTTCCTCTGCCCTGAAGAGGCGAGAAGAGGCTCCTGGCAGAGCTTCTGCGCCAGCAACCCGCCTCCTGCCGCACTTTTTGCTGCGAGGAAGCGTTGTCCTGGCGCAAAAAGTGCGCCAGGAGGCGGCTTCCGGCAAAGGAAGCTCCGCCAGGAGCCTCTTCAGGGCTTACTTGAGAATTGTAGACGCCAAATTTTGCCCGAATTTTCTCGTTTTTTCGTTTTTTTTCCCAATGTGTTTGGGAAAAATCAAAAGCCGAAGAAAACTTCCTAGCCAGAATCTTGGCAGAAAAGGGTCCCGAAAGTCTTCAAACCAGCTTGCTTGACGACGCCCGGACGCCAAAGTTCTGGCGATCCAAGTCTTCTTTTGGTTGTGACCAACCCACCAGGACCCTTGAGGGCAGGTTGCTGGACGATTCTGCGCACCAACTTTTGTCCAAGTATTTTATATCTGTTGCATCTAGTTGAGCAACGGTGAGGTCCCGGCACCGCAAAGAGTCAAGGAAAATTACATAGCCAGAAAAGTGAGCCGGGAGCATGGCAGAAAAGGGTTAGGGCAGCTTGATTGATGATTTCAACACTTGAATATATTTTTTGATGGCAAACCATATTTTGTTTCTGGCGCCTTGAAATGCTAGGCAAGACTTCCTAGCTAGAATGCTGCGCTGAGAAAAAAGTGCTAGGGCCCTCTTCAACGCAGCCGGCTTGGCGAGTCTCAGCAGCCGGACTACAGCGCCGGATCGGCTATAATTATATCAACTTTCACGCCCGGCCTAGATTCTTTGTGTGGGCCGCCATGGGCCAAATTGCGGAGTGCCCCATGCGCACCTGCAGAACGTGCAAGCTGGTCAGCGACAGTGCTTCCCGAGGGCATGGTGCCAAAAAGCCGTCCCCGCATTGACCTGGGTAAAAAAACGGTGGGACATGAACATAATTTCCAAATATTTCATAATTTAACGTCAAGAGATGCTTGAAAAAAATATGCCCCGCAGCGTGTGGAAATTACATATCATTGACACGGCACGAAAAAGCATCAATAATTCATTGATGGTTTCGGAAATTCTTCCATAAAAAATCCAAATATATATCTTAATTTAACGTCAAGAGGTGCTTTCTATTCTTGAAAAAATCAGCCCCGCAGCGTGTGGAAATTTGATATCATTGACACGGCACGAAAGAACATCACTGATGGTTTCGGAAATTCTTCCATTAATAAATTTCAAAATATCTTACCCAAGCCACCCTGGTTACCTCTCTCCCAGGTAACCAGGCCTCAGTTCCTAAAATTTTTGGAACCAGCCTTCCGGCGAGGAACCAGTACCACTGATGTGTATTCAGGGCTTCCAAAACATGATCATGGTTTGTGATATATTGCGCAATTCAAACGGTTTTCACATCCTTTTCCCCCATTTGCGAGCTGCAAAGTTCGAAACTTCAGCAGGGGCATTTGCCACCACCTTCAACAGAGCCCTTTTTAGGGTTCTCTCTTCCATTTTGGGACCAGTGGATGTTGCCTGAACCACCGATTTGAGATAGCCCATATAATCTTCCCCAGAAAAACAATGGTGGGCACGAGAATTGTATCTCCATTGTTTGCAATCCAAAGCCATATGGTGGAATAGATGCAGTTTTGGGACCACAGTCCATCTTTGTTTGCCTTGGTTGTACGCTTCCCATGCAGCCGCAAGCCAAAAATGGCAGCCTTGAAGAGCTAGGTCATGAAGCTTCTGTCCCTGGGAACTAGTCAAGTAATTGGCAGGGTAGATTTCTGTCAGTCTTTGCCATTCTGCAAAGGTGCACCTGGAGGCTAACATCCACAGGGTATATATATATATATATAAATAAAAAGCATGATGCCATCTCATACCATTACATTTTAAGGGGAAAAATCCTAGCACCCTTCACTAGGTAATTATATAGATGTAATTAAATAATGATGATAGCCCATCAAGGGATGGCAACCCATCAAACCCCAAAGAATAGTTTTTCCTTAAAGATGCAGGGCGCACTGTTGCCAGCCCAATGGACCATAGCTGCTTCCGGTTTGCGAATGCCTCGTTGCTTTCCATGGGCAGCTGGACCATCAGCTCATTTTGTGCCTTGCTCAACGCATCCTAAGGGCTGGTTGTGAAAGGCAGTTGCAATGGAACAGATTTATATTATAGCCTAATAGTTTAACAAAAACACAAAAAATGTTTTGGTGCAATAAAGTGTCGGCCACATACCCCAGGATTACTCTAGCATTGAATGCTTTTGTGATCATGACGATGTATTCAGGGATGCCCTTGACAGAAACGGTGTGGATTTTAAATCTCCGCTGTGAGCATGTGATCTTGTTCATGACGCAGAATTTCCTGAAGTCGTGGTAGAGGTGTTCAAGTGCTTCCTCAAATGTGCAACACCATTTCGAAGCCCGATGTTCTGCAAGAATTGTCAAAGCTTCGGCGTTCAGGACATGATACAGCCCCAGATTGCAAATATGCATACTGCAATGTTTCCTGGGATCCAAGAGAACTAATAACATATAAAATTGTAATTCATTGATTGGTAGGCATTTCCCTTTGAGATCTTGAAGGGGAAACCAAGTTGAAAAAAGTAGGATTACCCACAAGGCTCAACATCTCAACATCGAACCCCAAGACTGTGACCAAGTGATTTGGTTCTGCTGGAACACATTGTGTAAGAAATTCCTGGGTATTCCGGGCCACGAGGTTCCAGTTCATTGCAAAGTCTGTGAACAAATGACCAAACCTACAGGGGGTGAAATAGTGAACCAAAGTAAAATTGTTGAACATTTAGCTAATATCTTTTCATTGGTCAAAACAAAACAGATGACAAAACCCAGCACCTTGGTATGCGAGCAGCGGGACATCAATAGCATATTGTCCCTCTTTTCCAATAGGGATCAATTTCAAAAAAGTACTTGTGCCAAGCCCAATCGCCTTTATATTCTGTCACTGCAAACTTAGAGGACAGATAAGACCCAGCACATTGTTTTTCACGTCGGGTCAGTTCAAATCCCTCAGATGCAGCAATGTCTGCCTGTGGTCGCCGCCCCTGTAGTGCCACGTTCAAGCTCCAGGCAGCCCTTTTCAGAATAGGCCTCATAGTGTCCTGAGCCCATTCCATGTAGACCCCTTGAAACATGTTGGGCTGCAGAAAGACAGCTCACCCAGGTGCCTATGTGGATCTATGTGGTGCTACGTGTGTTCACATTTTGGTAGAAGAGGCGAGTGGGGATCGAGCTGGAAAATGCCAAGATTCTACACCATAGGCTCCCAATGCTATAGCCGATGAGACTATGAAGAACAATTAAAGGACCGGATAACCCCACATGTTACCAACTTCTTTAGACTTAGACTGACCATAGAAGAGCAAGAAGGGAAGAGGAAGTATAAGAGTGATGGAGCGGTGATGGTGGGTGAGTTTGTGTGTATGTATGTATGTTCATGTACAGTGAGTGAGTGAGAGTGTGAGTGAGTGATGCGAGTGTGGTGTGTGTGAGTGAGGGATGTGAGAGTGAGTGAAGTGAGTGAAGTGAAGTGAAGTGAAGTGAAGCGAAGTGAAGTGAAGTGAAGTGAAGCGAAGTGAAGCGAAGCGAAGTGAAGCGAAGTGAAGTGAAGTGAGTGAGTGGGTGAGCGAGGGAGCGAGGGAGCGAGGGAGCGAGGGAGCGAGGGAGCGAGGGATGGAGCGAGTGAGTGAGTGAGTGAGTGAGTGAGTGAGTGAGTGAGTGAGTGAGTGAGTGAGTGAGTGAGTGAGTGAGTGAGTGAGTGAGTGAGTGAGTGAGTGAGTGAGTGAGTGAGTTGAGTGAGTGAGTGAGTGAGTGAGTGAGTGAGTGAGTGAGTGAGTGAGTGAGTGAGTGAGTGAGTGAGTGAGTGAGTGAGTGAGTGAGTGAGTGAGTGAGAGTGAGTGAGTGAGTGAGTGAGTGAGTGAGTGAGTGAGTGAGTGAGTGAGTGAGTGAGTGAGTGAGTGAGTGAGTGAGTGAGTGAGTGAGTGAGTGAGTGAGTGAGTGAGTGAGTGAGTGAGTGAGTGAGTGAGTGTGTGAGTGTGAGTGAGTGAGTGAGTGTGTGAGTGTGTGAGTGAGTGAGTGTCTGCGTTCTCTTTTCCGTTCCCGGCACAGACCGGAAACATCATAACTGCATGGCATAACTTAAAAGTGATTTCAATAACCTACACCAAGTCAAGTCAATGTGGGGAGCAAAAACCCCACACGTCAATGTGAGGAACAAACTGTTGGTGTGCCTGACATATTCAACACCATACATGTTTAACACACATTCGAAACGGCCTCGCCTTTCCAGCCTTCCGACACACTATCAAAACGATGGTGTGCTCACCATACTTTCGCTGACCAAAGTAATGTTCTGCACTCTTTCGAGCGCAGCCGCACATTTTGTGAATTCTTTCTGCATGCCCTGTGGCTGGTAAACATCGCTGGCACATGATGATGATGATGATGATGATGATGATGATCATGATCATGATCATGATCATGATGATGATGATGATCATGATGATGATGATGATCATGATGATGATGATGATGATGATGGAAGTGAAGCGAACTGAGTGAGAGGGTGAGTGAGGGAGGGAGTGAGGGAGTGAGTGAGTGAGTGATTGAGTGTGTGTGTGTGTTTGTGTGTGGGTGAGTGAGTGAGTGGGTGGGTGAGTGGGTGAGTGGGTGAGTGAGCGAGTGAGCGAGTGAGTGAGTGAGTGAGTGAGTGAGAGTGAGAGGGAAAGGCGCGGTGTGTCGTTGGGAAGGAAGGTTGTCGTTGATGCGCACGGCCTCCCATTAACGTCCCCACCACCGGCCAACGTGGTGTCGGCTCGACCGAAGCCGAACCGTTTGGTAAGGACGAAGGCATCGACGCCCTGGCGTACCTGCAGACCGAGAATGAAACAGGACTGAAGATGAACCTGTTCTTTTCCTTCCATCGCAAATGCCCGGAGCTCAACGTACCGGAATCAGAAAGCATCTTCAATAGTGATTTAAATGACGTACAGACCTCACGGTGACCCCGGCTTCCAAGTCCGTTGAAAGCAAATTTCTAAAAAAAAAACTCCCGGAACTGGAGCTGCAGCCCAGAGGCAAGAGCCTGCCTTGGAGTAGTTGCTCACGGAGGTGCTGAGTCAGGCGACGAACCGACCTGCCCCCCGCCAAGGTGGGGGAACCATCCTAGCCGCTAGCCCCTGAGAATATTATAATAGGAACGGGCAATAGTTACATATATAATATATATGTTTGAACAGTGTAAGCAAATTGCTAAGGTTGTCAAATCGAAATATTCCATAGCTGTGAGACAATGATTCGACGATGTGCACCGCATCACAATACGTGACCAAGTGTGTAATGTCATGGCGAGCCTAACTAAAACTTTTGTCAGTCCCGAGATTGTCCTGCAACAGCTTGACGCGATCACTGCTTGCAGCAGCTGAACCAAAGCGCGCACGGGGACAACCTGGTCGTCCGTCGCGTTTTGGACGGAGGTGGATACCCTCGCAGACAGATAGCCAGTCACACGTCTCGTGTGTGTACATGTTGAGTTTGTCTGCTGATAGGTGGGAACCACATGACACCACCGCCAGCCACTGTAACGCGTCCATCTGTTTCGCCTAGGCAGTGGCGAGGTGTTTCTCCTGGCTTCAAAACAGCAAGGTAGCTGTTGTTCTCCTTGCTCACCCTTTTCTTCACACATCTGTGATGACCTTGGTGATCGCCGTGATGTTCTTCTCCAGCAAATAGCTAGTTACTTGCTTCTTCAAAATGACCTCGTCAACCATCAATTTGAGGCCACTCGATCAATCCCAAAAAAGGTCAATGGACCTTCTCAAAGGGGATCACTTTGAAGAAGCAACAGAAAATAGTTTTTGCTTTTCTTTTACTTAGAAAAGTCCGTCCGTCCAGAGAGAAGCCTATCTGCCCACAACAAGAGATCGGGGGGAACCGGGGTTACAGGCCGAAGGTTATCATAGATTCAATTGGGAGGAAGTGACAATAGATGTACCGTGGCTGATGGCAAGGCCATGGTACACCATCACTTCCTTTTAAAATCATAAGACCTGAGGAGGAGCCTGGACTCGTATACCTTGTATCGTGTGTGCATGTGTCGAGGGGTAAGGTGGCGAAGTCCGGTTTCCATGCGAACCAGAAAGAAGGACAACGATGCGACGCGAAACCAACGTGTATCGATATGCAATGACGGGCGTGTGCTTTGGGGCCCCCCAACCAAGGTGGTTTGCCATCTCCCCAAAAAATATAAACGGGCGGACCTGGCAGGAGGCGGAGGTCGGTGGGCTGGGGCAAACTCAGTGCTACGATATCAAATATAATGGGACAAAGTCAGTACCACGATCTCATATAATGGGGTTGCCCTGATGCTCCCTTCCATAATCTTGCTGGGATTAGGGTCCTGGGTCCTGACGGTACCTTGCACTGAGACTCTTATCCTAGGCTGTACCCATCTTTTGGTCATAAACTCTAATCGCATGACCGCAACAAGATGTGGCAGCAGCCTATCGCTCTCTTCCCCCCACCAGGGCCCGGGGCCCTGGCCTGACGAAAACGCAGATGCAAAGAAGCATCACAGACCTGCAAAACTTGCATGGTCGGTCCTGGGTCCTGACGGTACCTTGCACTGAGACTCTTATCCTAGGCTGTATCCATCTTTTGGTTACAAACTCTAATCGCATGACTGCAACAAGATGTGGCAGCAGCCTATCGCTCTCTTCCCCCCACCAGTGCCCGGGGCCCTGGCCTGACGAAAACGCAGATGCAAAGAAGCATCACACACCTGCAAAACTTTCATGGTCGGTTGGTGGAGCGCATGGAAAGTGAGTCACGGTGAGTGAGAGTGATGGAGAGTGAGCCAAACCAGATTGATATCAGTGAGGAAGAGTGAGCCAAACCAGATTGATGTCTACAATCTCGACAGAAAAAATCGCACTGAGATCCCAGCTCGTGAAAACACTGGAACGGTCCAGCTCAGTGATCCATCGGAGCCTGTCCGCTCGAGTCCAGGGTCGTGGCCTCATGACAGCGGAGATGCATATAAGAGCATCACAGACTTGCGTAATTTTCAATCATGGCGACGCAGCATGCAACCAGAAGCCATGCTAGACTTGCAAACAATCAGACATGTCGAAATGCCTTGCTTTTTTTTCTGCGAAGTCGACATGTTGCGTGAAGTTGCACAAAACTGCAGAAAATGTAGGAGCCAAATCCGAGAAATGTCTTTGTGAGCAGCTACGTTGTCCCAAGCACGCGGAGCGAGGCAAATCAACAAGACGCTTCAAGTTCCGTTTCCGACTGAGTGCTGCGGAACAAGCCAAAGCTCACATCTCTTCGTTGGATCGGGTGGCTGCGACTGGGCATGCTTGCGCAAACATGCGGAGCCAGGAAAATCAGCAAGACGCTTCAGAACCAGTCTCCGACTGACTGCTGCGGAACAAACATCAGTTCACATCGGTTCGTCCAATCCGGTGGCTGCGACCTCGGATGACGCCGGCAGTGTGTTCGTCCAAGCTGTGGAGCTACGTGCCTCTTCCGGCATGCTGTCTCTGACGACATGGAGCCTCTTGACAGGCGTCCATTTGGATTCAAACGTAAGGGGGTCATCTACTGTCAGCTCTGCCGTGGCGAGTCGGTGAAAGTAGGCCGTGACGGTGTCCTTGGCGGCTGCATCCACGGGGACATGCCAGAGAACACTCCACTCTTCGATGTGCTCTGTCTGGGCCAAGACCACTTGATGGATTTCTCCGGTACGGCCCTGGAGCAACCAGTTGACAACCGAAGCCGGACCAGCCATGCGAAGTTTCACTTGGAAAGGAGATGTATCTGTCTTCGACAAAAGGCAGTCAAAGGATCGCTTCACTCGCATGGCCGAGGTGGCTGTATTGTCTTGCTGCAATGCTTCATCATCTGGCAACTTCACGTTGTTGAAGCACACCAAAGCACGCAAAAAGTTTGCATCCACCTTGCCCACGGAGACCAGTCCGAGATGCGAATCCACTGTCACCGCTTTCAACGGCGCCACTGGGCAACCATTGTTCAAGCGGCAAAGAGGCAGACTCAACTGGCCGCTCGGTGGGGTCATCAGCACGACAGTTGGCTGAAGCCGCAGGCAGGGACGAATGTCGCGACACTCCAATTCCAAGGATTGCTGGAAGTCGTTCTCCTTGAAGGTGAAACGGCAAATCCACTGAGCATTCCGGAACATGTCTCTGAGAGTTGCGCGCAGCTCTTTGGAATCAGCCAGCGGCTCGGGCAAAGTTATTTCCATCAGCACTGCTGCCTTCAGCAGTAACTCGTGATACAACATCACGGAGCATTGACTGTTGCCATCGGCCAAGGTCAATCTGACGGCCAGGCGCTTTTCCGTGCTTCCGTCAGGATGTTGCGCACAAGGGCTGGCCCGCTTGCATCGCACACAAGACGCGATCAGCCACTCATCCGTTTCGCTCTTCACTGACGAAATGCCTAAAATTTGCAAGTCGGAGACTACGAAGACTGTCTCAACTTTACGCAGTTGCCCCGGCACCACAACGCGAAGCAAGGCGCTGAGCGTCGAAGGTACTGCATCACAGTTTTCCCAGTCTCTGACAGGAATCTCGGTGAGCATGCGGCAATCTCCGGTGTCTGCAAGTTCTTTTTTCCTCGGAGCGACAAAAGAAGGTATGTTCGTGGAACAGCATGTGCGAAAAAACACCGAAACATCTGCCAAACATATATAGTTTATGTACTGTGTCCTATGCGGTAAACTTCAACTATCGCCGTCTCAATGCCATCGGCAAGACAGCCGACACTGAAGCGGATTCATAACAGTTGCATGGTTCTTTCCAATACCTCATGCGTGACAAGGAAAGAAGCGCAAAAGTCCGAGCGAGCATCAACAACTCTGCCATGGCTGCCGGACACTCTTGGATGCTGGTACCCCTCCAACTGCTCAACTCCCACGAATCTTCGGACTTCCGCTTCGTCACGAGGACCTGGTACAAAAGCACCGCCTCATTCACTGCCTGGGCGGCAAGTTCCTCCGCATGCTCATGCCAGAAAGCGCATCGAACTTTGGTATTGCCTTGTTGAATGATGGCGTTGCATACCATGGCCATCTTCTCTTTGGTTTGACGTTCAATGGCCCCTGGGTTGTCGATGATGACCGCAGCCACACAAATCTGCTGTCGATCTTTGACTCGGCTCAGTGCTCGGAGAGGAACCAGAGGATGGAGGTCCGGGACGTCAGCCCACGGAGCTTCTGTCAACTTGGTGGCCAGCACTGTGATGCCCAGCGTGCCTTTGAGGCGAAGATGATAATGCAGCCTGGACGTCGAAAAAGTCGCCGGAGCAGCTTGCACCGTGCCACCTTGGATTGCAACCAAGTCGCCGACCTGGCAGAGCTGCAAGAGCTTGTCACCAATCTCACCCCATGCCTCGATGTAGAGAACTTCTGTAGGACTGCTGGTGGCTGCCAAATGGGCCTCTACCTTGTGCACAATGTTTGACGCAGAAGATGAGGCGCCCTTGCCCGACTTGCCTTTTTTGCCTTTCGGTTGTCCATGTCCTTGACTGGGCTGTTTGGCAGGCAATTCCTGCTGAGTCAAAATCACCAGTCGCCCAGCCACAGCAGTGTTTTTATCTCCGCGATATTCAGATGGCTTCAGACAAGTGGCCGCCATCCGCGCAACACCGCCGCTACCCATGTTGTGCGTCACGACCGCGAGTAAACTTTATGTAAAACAGAGCCAAGATTCAGGCATGCCACAGACTTTGAATGTATCATCTTTACAAAAGTGAAGCAATTTGAGCAATTCCGGCATGCCGCCTGACTGTCCTACTTGACATGTAATGTAAGACTCTGAAAAGAACGCAAGCACACTGAGATCCCAGCTCGTGCAAATGCTGCGATGACAACCGAAATGCAGACTACGATGCAATACCTGCAAACTTGTTAAGGACTATGACAGGTGATCGTGACGGATTCAAAATTATAATTGGTTTGCCCTGGTCCTGAGTCCTAACTGTCGTGACATCAATGGCATGTTTTGTTCATCCTATTGCAAGCCAAAGACGAAGCTGTTTTTTTCTCTCTGTCTGGAGCTGCCTCTACTGTGGGAAGAAAGTTCCGTCATGACCAAATCAGAAAGCATTTTCAATGGTACCTTACGTTAGACATGTCTACCTTATGCGGGTCCCGGCGTCGCATCGCTCATCTGTCGAACTTCAGCAAGAATTCGAGGTCTGATGATGTGGTCTTGATTCTTTTCCCACGTGTGCAATGCCCAGAAGACATGCGGTCGATGCTGCCATGGGCAAAGCGTAGGACGAGCGGCCAGCAAGCTCTGCACAGCTTCTTGTGTGGTCAGACCATGACGAAAGATCAGCCAGGCGCACAGCGCTGCAGAACTGCGGTTGACGCCGCCAAAGCAATGAAACAAAATGCCTCGCTCATCTCGTTTTGGTGTTTCGGACAAATGCTGCAAGAGGGTGCAGCACATCTCCATCCAGCACGACAACCATGCATTTCCCATATCTTCGCAAAAACTAGTGGCGTCATGTAGACGAGTTTTTGGATCATCCAGATCGAAAACAAACCATCGAATCTGAAGATTTTGAAACCAACTCTTCCAGCCCATTTCTGGTTGTCCACGAATGCGTTGCATCTCTGCTCGGCAAAAGCTCAACGTAACAGAAACTCTGTGAGAAATCAATGGCGTCTCTGCCGCAGCCTGATGAGTTCCGAGATGAGCACATGCGGCCAAGCTTCCGAGAAAATAAATTTCAGGCTTCTCTAGAGGCACCGTTTTTGTGGGAGATATCTCACAGATATCATTGGGCCAGTCTGAGATATCACCGAAATGATACTCATGTTCGGCCAATAGCTTGTCGAGTGCTGGTTGATCCTCCTTCGGTATTTTCGAGCATCTCTCAATCTCTCCTCGCAAGGAAGCACACGCCATGGACATTGCGTCGTCATACGGCTCCATGACAAATAGACGATGACCTGTATCCATCTTGAGCCTCTATCCATGCTAATTCCAGGTGTTCTTAAGACGACATGGCACTTTGAGCAGCTGCATAATTTGCTAAGGTCAGCACAGGAGCAGATCGGAGTGCACCGTCTCATAGGCCCGCATTCGCCTCGCAGCACACGCATGACATTTGTTTCATGTTATTTGTAGCAGTTTCTTTTTTTGTTATTCGGTCCTTTTTCTTCCGTTTGTTTTTTTTCATTGACCTTTTTTTTTGCTGCAGACTAAAATACAAATGTAATTACAGGTTTACAACGCGACTGGCAAACAAAGTCTTGAAAGAGTATTAGCTGTCTCCAGATGTCAGCAGCAAGTAGCTTCAAGCATTCACCTTTTTACGTAAAACGCCTGCCCAGGTTTGATCAGCAAGTAGCTTCAAGCACCCGAGAAAGCATGCAAAATGATATATTCATAACCTTGTTCATATCACCTTGTTGCAAACCTATATTGATAGCTTCTCTCAGGTTCATACTTGCTGCGACGGTTGAAAAATTGCCAACTCTGACACGAATGCCGCGAAGGTATGTACTGTACAAGCGCACACGGTCGAAATGGCACCAACATGCTGCCACATCAAACCGTTAAATCCCCAGCAATTCTTATGGTTCGGGGGCGCTTTGCTCCTCAGATAGTGCGCGAGGTTCTGCGCAAGGTCAACTGGCTGAGTTACTTTTTGAAAATTTGCGGAGAACGCATTTCGTACATTTGTTGCCCAATCACTCTGTGCCACGTTCATAGCATTTCTGCTTGCAAACTTGTTCCTCTGTGGCGGTGCCTTTTCGGGGAACTGCGTTTTGTATATCTTAAGGAGCTCTTCGTAGAGGAAAGCCATCATCCAATAGTAGGCATGATACTGCCAAGGTGGCAATTGATCGCATTTGGTCTCTCGTTGGGAATATCCATCGCCGCGTGCCCCATGTGCGGCACGAGGCACGCTTTGATGCTTTGGCGGAGCAAACACCCTTTCTCCAGCCTCAGTGCGAAAAAAATGCCAATGATTCAGATTGCTGACAGCAACCAAAGGCATTGAGACATTGAATTCCGTCGATAGACGGGCCCAGCGATCCATGCGTCCACCTTCTTCCTTGACACTGTGTAGTGCTGCAGGAGTCATACCCTTTGCGCTCCAAGTGTGTTTCCTACAGACAGAACAGAGACGCCATCTGTGTGGCAAAGGGTTGTCAGCCAAAAAGTTTTGCAGGTCCATATAGGCAGCAGGAGTCGGATTGAGCCCAGCATCAAAAATGTCCGGAGATCAGAGGTCCGCCGTGCCCGCATACGCCAGAATCGTGTGCAGTTCGTAGTTCGACGACGACTTGTGCCTCTTGCAAAGCGGACGGAATGTCCACAGCTAACAGCTGCGCCATACTCCGCAGCTCGCTTTCCCACGTGGAATGCACCAACTCGCTCGCAGGCTGCAACTGGTCCAGACGCAATCCTTCAATATTCCGTTTGTCTCTTAACACTGCAGCATCTCCACTCTTCACAAAGATTTCGGCATCGTCCTGCAAGTCTTCGTCTCTGATCGGCATGAAAACAAACACATCCGAATGAAAACAAACTGTTGGTCTGCCTAACATTCCCAATACTGTATATGATTTGATTTAACGCATATTCGAAACGACCCCGCCTTTTCAACTTCTTCGTTGCCAGTCACTGGAATCTTAGCCAAGTTCGGCAGCGGCACATGTCTGCGGTCGCTTTTCCGTTCCTGGCACAGACCGGCAACATCATAACTGCACGGCATAACTTAAAGTGATTTTAATATTCTTTACTTACCATGAGCATTGTCCACCTCCATCTGTGCCGTCGAGTCCGGCTTTCAAAACTGGACTCTGCTTCTTTGATATTATCAGTTGAACCTCTGGGGTTCGGGCTTTCGGCATTGGACTGCCTCCTTCTTCTCCTCTTCCTTTTCTTTTTTCTGCCTGGTAAATTGTGATAGATATCGCAAAGAAATTTTGCTTTTGTTAATTGCAACGCTCTGGAATCGAAAATGCCTACAACGCACCTGTGCTGGACCTGACGGTGGAGGCGCTGTCGGTGTCTGTACCTGAAGTGCTGGCAAAGCATTTGTGTCCTTAGTGTAAAGAAGATGAAGCAGACAGTACCAACTAGGTGTCTTACTGGATTGGTCGCATACCACGGTGTAGAAGCCTGATGCGCAGATGATCATTGAAGTTGCTTTTTTGAACAACAGTATAAAAACGAAAAAAAACACTCAGCACGTCACAGCAAAGCTGGAAGTCTGAAACGAAGCCAAAGCCTGGTTCGGTCAACAGGAGAGAAGACTAGGTACAAGCGGCACAATGCAGAAGGCAAGCTTCCAGGAGTCCCTCGCATGACATAACTGCACGGCACAACTCAAAGTGATTTCAATAACCCACAGCAAGTCAAGTGACATGAGCAGTGTTCACCTTCATCTGCGCCGTCGAGTCCGCCTTTCAACCAGGCTGACAAAAGAAAAGGAAAAGCAGAAGAGGAAAGCAGTCCAATGCCGAAAGCCTGAATACCAGAGATTCAACTGTTGAACCTATGGGATTCAGGCTTTCGGCATTGGACTGCTTTCCTCTTCTGCTTTTCCTTTTCTTTTTTTCAGCCTGGTAAATAGTGATAGATATTGAAAAAAAACATGACTTTTGTTAATTGCATCGCTCTGGAATCAAAAATTCCTACAACGCACCTGTGATGGACCTGACGGTGGAGGCGCTGTCGGTGTCTGTACCTGAAGTGCTGGGAAAATATTTGTGTCCTTAGTGTAAAGAAGATGAAGCAGACAGTACCAACTAGGTGTCTTACTGGAGTGGGTGCATACCACGGTGTAGAAGCCTGATGCGCAGATGATCATCGAAGTTACATATTTACAGCAATAGTATACAAACTCAAAAAAACTCAGCACGTCACAGCAGCGCTGGGAGTTTGAAATGGAGCGAAAGCCTGGTTCGATCAACAGCAGAGAAACACAACGCAAGCGCCGGAATGCATAACCTTGGCGCCTCAGGAGCCAAGCTCTTTGGTTGTGAGGTGCTGGCCTGAGGTAGCAAGAAAAGACCAGTGCGTCAAAGCACGCACGATCACAACACCATGCCTTAATCTGTGGTGCTTCCATAGCTTCCACCTGACCAGGAGCATTCCCAATTCTTGACCGCAATTATTCTCAAAGCATTGCCCGTCTCGCCTCCAAGGAGTCCAAGTCCACGTTCAACATGCCAGCAATTGGAGCAACATTAATTCCATCGAACTGGTTATGGCCAGCAGTTTGGATGATCATGAAGTTCTCCAAGCAGCTTTTCAACTCTTGAAAGGCAAGGCCAGTCTCATTTCTCAGGTCATCGCGTAACCGTTTGCCGGCCTTGTTCACTTCGGTAGTTTTCAGCCCTGGAAACTTTTCCATGCTTTCGAGATCGACCAGCATCCAAACCTTTCGAGTTGTCTGATAGCAGATATTGCCAGAATGAAAATCGTGACCCCAACTGATGTCAGCACTTGCAAACGCACTGGCCGCGACAAGCAACTGCACAAACAGCTTTCTGACGTCTGCAGCTGTCAGGTTACCTCGGGCCAACACTTGCCGCAAGGTCTTTCCGACAAACTCCGATAGCAGACAATCAACTTCGGTTCGATACTGGTGCGTGTCTTGAACATAT